GGGGAAGGGGGCTCCAATTTGTCGTGTAATTAACCCCGCTGCCTGTGTGGTGATGACGATGGGGGTGGTGGGGGCGTGCATTGGCGCCCTGCCCGCCCCGCGCCGCCCGCGGTTCTTTAGGTGGCGTCATTAGCATGGGGCCCAACCGTCACGTCGTGGTGCTCCACCCCGTCACCCGAACGGATTTTAACTGTTCAAGAACGCATTTAGGCGAAATTTTCAAAGAATTTGGAATCTCCTTCAAAATTTATTCCTTTCAAATTTTTATTTCAACTTTTCAATTTCATTTTTTTAAAAATTCTGAATTAAAATTCTGTAGCCACCCCTCCCCTTCCAGCCCCGTACTGTACTTACCGCCGCCGTTCTGGTAGGCCAGGTAGGGGAACCGCCAGACGTTGCCGATGCCGACGGACAGCCCGACGCACGACAGGAGGAACTCCCAGCGCGAGCCCCAGGAGCCCCGCTCGGCCACGGCGGCCAGCGACGGCCGGCGGATGGCCGCGTCCATGGGCGTGCCCGCGCCGCTCGAGCCGCCCGCGCCGCCGAACAGCGACTCGCGCCGCGCCACGATGGCGGCCGAGAAGCGCCGCTGCCGCCCATGGTCCCCGGAGCCCGAGTAGTGGCGCTCCCGCTCGCGCAGGGAGCCGCCGCGGGGAGAGGCCAGCCCCGGGGGCACCGAGGCGCCCGCCGCCGCCGCTGCTGGACAGACAGAGAGAGAGAGAGAGCGGGATTAGCAAGTCAATGGCGGGCAGCATTTGCATCACAGGAGCCTAATTGCAGCATGCAGGCCCGGTGGGAGTCGTGGGGAGGCGTGCCAAGGGCGGGACAGCAGAGAGTGTGCACGCCGTGACCAGGGCAGGAGAGTCGCGCCTCCTGGACACTCTGTCGGGGCAGCGCTGCGCGGGGCAGGGCGTGGACAATCACGGCCTCCGCACGACCATCTCCAGGACAAAAGGGAGGCCAGACAGACCACTCGACGCCCCGCGGACCAAGCAGAGTGGACCTAGGGGGGGGGGTGCAGCCGAGCAGCGTCGGGGAGGAGCGCGCCTCGGGCACCGCACCTGTTGTCGGGAGAGGCAGTCCCCACGGGGGCCACCTCCTCGCCGTCGAAGAGGGCACAGCAGGAGTGGACGAGAGCAGACCGAACCCCCGCCAGCGAGTGGCGAGTCGTCCTGTGGGAGGCTGGCTGAGCAGAGTCAAATCAAGGCGCAAGGCGGAAGAAGCAGCGGCTGTTTGTTCATGTCCCTGGGACAGCGGAGGGCGAGCTGGAGGCCTTCGGCGCCGGTGTAGGAGGATGAGGGGCGAGAGTCACCGCGGTACCTATATGCTGCACGCATTGTCGCCTGGATGGGGGTGGTGCTGATGTGATGATGGTGGTGGGTGGGGTCTCCCCACTTCTTTGCCGGCCCGTCCGCAGCGCAGTGACGTCATTGCCAACTGCCCCTCCCCCTCCCCCCCCCTACCTGCCCCGCCCCTGCTCTCACCAAAGTTTGCGGACGGAGGCCCGAAGGAGAAGGTTTGCGCGGGCGCGCTTTATGTTTCCAGAGGCCGAACTGACTGAGGCTGGACTGCGGAGGGGGAGGGGTGTGGGTGGGGGCCGGTGGGGGCTGCCTCCTCGCCGATGTGTCGGGCAAGACAAGTTGTGGTGTGGGAGAGAAGAAGGGGGTGAAAGGACAGGAGAGGTGCGGGGAGGGGAGGGGGCGCGCTTCGGGGCAAACATGACGGCAGCACTAACGCCTGGTGCTGGTGCACGAAAAAAAAAAGAATTAGCTAAATTAGCTAATGCATTCGCCAATATGGCCTTAGATTAGAATATTAGCCATGACAGTTGTCTACAAAATAAAGCAGCTGGCTGTTAAAGCTAATATTTTAGCTTTCTTAGCAGGGAATTAGCTAGGAAAGCTAATATCTAATCTAAGGTCATAGCGAATGTATTAGCTAATTTAGCTAATTCTTTTTTTTTCTTTTTTTTTCGTAATCTGCTTGCCGCGGGCTCGCCGGTACACCGCTCTCTCTCTCTCTCTCCTAACCCCGCGGGACTCCGGTGCTGGACCATGTCCGTGCACTACCGCGTCCCTTTTGGGACCCTCTAGGTCCTCGGACCCACTCTGCATATGCGCGCGGGGCGAGTTCGCCCTGCTCCGCGACCCTGCCCCCGCCCCGACGACCCCGCGCGGTGAAGGCCACCTGAGGAGGGAGCGCCGCGACTGCGCCGTGTTCAGCTAGTGGTGAAATAAATAATGTGGTGAAATGGTGAACTCGACAACAGCAGAGGCAGAGGAAAGCGGGAAAGAAAACAAAATTGGAACCGAAACAAGGCCCTACAACGCGAAGGACCGCGGTGCTCTGGTGGCTCGCTGCTCGCTGTTGGTGAGCACGGGAATGTGGGTGCACGGGATGTTGGGTTGGAGTCGGCCGGGGAGTTGGCATGCACGGCCAGCACCGCACGAGTAGTGCCCCGCCACGCCCCGCCCGTCAAGCATCGCCCAGAGCTGTGTTGTGTAGGTGATGTGGGGCCGATGGGACCAGTCGGGCTGCTCCAAACATCTATTCTCGGAGCCAGCCTCACAGTCAGCCCCGCCGCGGTTGCGCAGGCCCCGGCACAAGACCTCCGCCGTCGCCCAGCTCGTTGTGCCTTCAATCTCCGTGTTATTTCGACCCCCGCCGCGCCCCCGTTGCTCCGCAAATCGCAGCGCGGCTTAATATCAGCCCGAGGAGGGAGGGCTGGCCGGGCGCGGCCTGGCATCCTGGACAACAAAGAACGTAGGGAGGAGCGAGGAGAGAGAGAGCCGGCGAAAGTCGATGGCGGCCTAAAAATACAGACGGCCGCTGAGTGGTCCCGGCGCAAGCGCGCCCCCCGGCGGCACCCCGGCGGCCCCGGCTGGGCTCCCCAAAGAGACAAATTAAGTTGGAAATTAATTTACCGCTGCGTCATTGTCGGTAAGTGGAGGGACGGGGCAAGGAGACCCCCCTCCGCCGCGGACGGCATGGCGGCTCACTGGGGGAGGGCGCTGGCGTCGGCAGGCAGCGGCACCACCGCCGAGAGCAAAGCACACCTCTGCAGTCGAGGACAGAGAGCTCTGATTCCCATCCTCCGGACCTTTCGTGGAAATTCAAACGTCAAATGTTTCACATCTGGAGCAGAGGGAGGGCGTAATGTGGCTGTCTCCAGTTAACAGTGTGTAAGGGGAGAGCTTGGGGACGCGACTCGGTAAAGACGCCTCGGGGGTCTGGGGGGAGCCGGGGGAAGCGAAGGGGACGGCGAGAGGGTGGCAGGCTCGACCGAAAAG